CTGGCATCCTGCAACAGCTCAGTACTGCCAGCTTTACCTAAATAACTTGTGTCCTAACTTTACTTGAGTATTTTATTAAAGATGGCTTTAAAAAAAGCACAGGGTTGTCTATAGGAAGAAAGGGACCCAAATCAGGAAAGTGTCTTGGGGTAGCAGCACTTCCTCTCCAAAATGTCTTTTCTTGTACACTGGTGGAAGGAAAGTGCTGTGAGACTGTGACCTGGCCCTGAGGAGGTTTGCAATCTCCCTCTCTGCCAAGCTTCTGTGAGCTTTTCTTCTTGGGACTGATTCTGGCTGAAAGGCAACTGCACTATTTATCCCACCAGCAACATTAGGGTACTAATGTTCTTTAAGCCTCAAACCATGGAGGTAAGCACATGATGGAAGTTCCTTCATAAACAGAATTTGTTGGAGGAGACAAGATGTAGTTAGCAGCTAAGGAGTTGTATAAAGGAGTATGTAACAGGCTATGTCCTGACAGCAAGCATCTCTCAATGGTTGTGCATCTCAGGGAGGCCTGGAATAGAGGGATCCCAGCCTGCACAGTTATTATGATCAGATAATTCAAAAGCCTGAGAAGAAATGTGAATCAAGAGGGTGGATAAAAAAACTAGGGGCTAATACACAAGAATCAATACTCTATTGGTATGCAAGTGATGAAAAATACTAAACTATCATCTTACTTTTGTCTACAATTAAGAAAAATATCAAGGCTGATTTTGTGCTGTCTTTAGAAGCTTGGTACTCTGTGGATGGTCCCAGTAGAACTTAGGGTGCAAATTTCAGAAGAAAATGCATTTCTGGAACGAGGTGAAAAAGGATTTTGAGGGATAAAAGAGCAAAAAAAAAAAAAAAATCATAGAATTGATTACTTCTGATGCTCTGAGAATAATAAATACATTCTCTAATCAAGAGTAGAGTAATTCCAGTGCACAGAACTAATCTGTTCATTAAGCAGAATGAAATCTAACAATCACTAAGAGATTCAGGTGATGACTGGGAGCAAACCCTGCTGCTTTCTTTGAGCTACACCAGTGAATAGTGGCAAACAATACTGGTGATGGGATGCACTGTTAGAATCAGGGAACTTTACATACAGCAGGTTTGTGAGAGCAGGTTTTTTTTTTTGCCATGTGTTAATATGAAAATTCCTATGTTCTTACACAATACCCAGTGACTATGCTGGAAGTTTGATAGCAGTATCCTGTTACTTGCACATCTAAATTCTTTCAAGTCATGGTAACAGTCAGGTGGAATGGCCTATGCCACTTCAGGTGTCTATTTTCCTGCATGAAACCAATTACGTGCAGCAGAGAACCACCATGTGACCCACAAAAATCATGAGGAGGCATTAATTGGAGTTTTTTCTTGCTATTTCAATTAGCCTACTTAATTCTGAATGCTGCATGGACAGTGTGCTGGGATAGCATCAAACACAGCATTTGCAAAACTGCGCTTTATGTTCGACTGTGTGAATGAAATGCAAGATTGAATGAATGGGATTGCCTCTAGGCTGGATAATTATTGCAGCACTGTTTATGGCATTCAGTGAAACAAGATTGTATTTAGATGACATTTTGGCTCTGGCAGGGTATCTCTAGGGGACACAGAATAACAGCCATTGCAGTGGGGTGTATTTCTCTATACTGCTTGCTGATAAAATCCCTAAGTGTGATTCTATCACATCCACTAGAACAACTTCTACTGGTGTAACAGGTGAAGGATGAATCCATGCAAGTAAAAGACTCAGTTGGTATTGTCTCTTCAAGCTTTTCAAGAAGTCTTTTTTCTTCAAGCTTTTGAGAAGCTAGCATCCAAAGTCTATGCCTTCTTTTGTTAACAGTTAAGTGCTCTGACTTTTATCTATGTAGTCAAAATCTGGCTCCTGATTACTTGTGAATGTAAATTGTTCCTTGATGGTAAGTTACTAGGAAATTCTTTTATTAACTACCAGTGGCCTAACTCATTCCCCTCCCTCAGTGGGAACCCTTGCATTTGGCTGTAGTGAATTTTTACCATATAATTTGAAAATCAAACATGAATGGATGAGAAAAAGCAGATATATTTTCCCTATTAACAGGATTTAGCAGTTAGGTATTAAAGTAATCAAGACTTTAATCTTTCATTTATATTATTATAATCTTTACAATGATCTCTTAGGTGAAAAAAAAAAAAAAGAATATAAATCACTATATATGTTGTAGTATTTCCCTAAAGAGTTATTTTCTGTCCTTGCAGTTTTCTTCCACCTGATATCCACCATTTTTCTTAATAGAAAGATGAAGAAATGCAATATCATTCCTTAAAATGTCTTTTTCTTCAGGAAATAATTTGTTTTCTCTTTGTGCATATGTAGTGAACAGCAGCCCTCCTGCTCATGATAGAGGGCTCAGAATTTTTGCCTCTGAAATGCCAGATTTTTTAAAAGGCTGGGAATTTGGGGTGCTGAATTTCTTGAAAATCTGACTTTACAGTTTCTATAAAAGTGTTCATGGCCTCAGTTGACTCAGCTTATTTTTTGAGTTCTTGCCAACTGCTAGAATGGAGTAGTTGAAAACTCATTTTCTAAATTACCCCTTTTTAAAGGCTGCCCAAACCACCAGGAATTTTGTCTCTGTTATTGATTTCTTTAAAATGAACTTAATGAGTCTAACTCCGGTGTTCAAAGGAAGTCATTAATTAGCCAATGTTTTAACATAAAACGATCAGTGGATTGAAGAGGATAGAAATGCAATTAACTATTGATCGCTGGGATTAGGATATGGTAAACCACGGGAGGCTTCTAGCCTGCCTCCTATTGAAAAGCCTTGGCTGAGAGGAAGCTTGGACAGACTATTTCCAGAACGCTGTCTGCCGAGGGGAAAACACTGTCTCCTGGGAACCAACAGTATGTCCGTTCTGTTTGTTTGTTTGTTTGTTTTGTTTTGTTTTGTTTTTCATCTGGGATAACATTCTTCATTATCCTAGCTCACGCTTCTTCAGAATGTCTCGAAAGGAGGAATTCTCAGGCTGTGATTTTGATCCTCCGGTTGTCCCAGGTGCCGCGCTCCCCGCCGGAGCCGGGCGTGTCCCCAGGTGTCCGTGTGTGACACCGGGGCGCGTTCCACGGTCGCCGTGCCCCGCCGGGCGCCGGCCAGCCCCCAGGGCTGGCTCTGCTCGGACCTCGCCTCTCGGATCTGCCGATCCCCTCCTCGCCCGGGGCTGTGTGTGCTGGCCCCAGCCCAGCCCGAGCCCAGCCATGGTGCTGGCGGACCTGCACAGCGCGGCCGCCAGCGCGGACCTGGCCCGGCTGCGGCAGCACTGGTGGCTGAACAAACACCGCATCAATGGCTACAACCGGGACAAGCAGTAAGGACAAACAGCAGGCCCTCCGCCTGTTCAAAATTGTCAAAATTATCTGAGTCGGGGTAGGGTTTTTTTATGTATGTATTTGCTGCTTTCAAACCTAAGCAGCAAGAAAGGAGACAATCAGTGGAACAGCAGCTAGCATCCCTTAGCCAAGGACATCCTGGAACTAACAAGCATTAAAGATGTAGTAAATCAAGATATTGTCTCAGTAGAACAGACAGCAGAAGCATCTCTTAGTGAAGGACATCTGTAAAGGCTGTTGTAAATCAAGATGTTGATGCATTTCTATGTCTATACATTGCCAGTTTGGCAAAAGACTCAAGGTCCGTGTATACCATAGATGTATTTTCTTCATTATAGTACTGAAAACCACACCTACAGGTTAAAAAGACCAAGTGAAGGCCCCTCCCCTAAGCATGCATAGAAGTTAGCTGTGGTTATGTAACTTGTGTGGAAACTATTAACCAGTCATGGTAGAGAGGCAGTACTAGGGAAGCTGTTAATTCTGAACTTCTATGTATTAATAATAGCATGGAAAGACTAGTGGGGTGTGCTTTATTTATATATTTATATTTATATAATATATTTATATGTTTATGTCAACTCATTGAGCACCCAGGCACGTGTAACTCTGAAACACATAATCCATGTCTCTCACAAGTGTGTAATTATTGACTTGCTGCACACCAGGTAACAAACCCAATATTGCAGAGAACACACCCACCCTGTCTGGAAGAGCCAGCCAAGGCCAGAATTGTGCCTGGCAGCAGGGTCAGCCCCAGAGCACCAACCTTACAGGAGCCCTGCCTGAGCTGTAATAGGAGACAGTGAAAGCTCCACTCTGCTCTGGCTTGCCCTGCCCTGCTCTGGAGCCTGGGCCCTGTACTTGATCATCTTTTTGTCCCATCCCTGTTTATCCAAGTCAGGCTGGATGGGGCTCTGAGCAACTTGGTCCAGTGGAAAGTGTCCCTGCCCATGGCAGGGGTTGGAATTAGATGGTCTTTAAGATCCCTTCCATCCCAAACCATATTAAGATTTGATGATTCTGTGGGGCTCATCAGCTTCCTTTCCAGGTGCCAGACTGAGCGGCATGGTTTAGCAGGGCATGGATTCACAGAAAGCCAGAACAGCCTTCCTAATGCTGTCAGAAGTCCCATCCCATCAGTCTCTGGGACAAAACTGATGTAGGACTGATGGGGGGGAGGGGGGGTTCTCAGGGGCTCACACTGGTTCTGCACTGTCTGTAGATTTACACAGCCTCCATTGCTAAGCAGTGTTTACCCTAAGTCAAGGGCATTTTCAGTGTCTCATGCTCTGCCAGTGAGAAAGTACACAGAAAGCTGGAGGGAGCTTAGCCAGGTCAACATTCTGAAATGGGATTTGGCATCAGTCAGTGGGTTGTGAGCAACTGTATTGTACATCACAGTTTTTTCTTGGGATTTTTATTTGCTATTATTATTATAATATTTATTTTATTTAAATTTTTTCTATTTATCAATCTGATATAATTTAATTGTTATTTTAAGTTTCAATTTTGATTCTTCTCCCTGTTCCACTGGGGTGGAGAGGGAGAGGATGTGAACGAGTGGCTGCATGGTGCTTCTTTGCCATCCAGACTTAAACCAGGACAACAGTACATGTTTAATTTCTAGGACTCCTCTGCATCTTGCTTGTATAAATGGCCATGCAGATGTTGTTCAGTTTCTGGTAGAAAAGAAGTGCAAGCTAAACCCTTGTGACAGACTGGATAAATCACCACTAATAAAGGTATGCAGAAGGGGTATACATTCTCTAATCTTTGATGACGCTCGTACTTTCCAGTGTTGGGAAGGTGTGGGAGTTCTGACAGTGAGAAACACAGATGCTGGAAGTTGTTTCTACTTTGTTTCTTGTTTCCAGGCAGTAGAGCACCAGCACAGGGACTGTGCAGCTATTCTGCTGGAACATGGTGCCAACCAGGACCACAGGGCTGTAAACGGTAACACCGCCCTTCACTTTGCTGTCATGGCTTCTAGCAAATCTCTAGTGAAGCTGTTACTTGAGCATGGTGCAGATATTGATGCTAAGAATAAAGTAAGCTTGGACTTTGGGTAAAGCTGCTCTTCCCAGGTCGACTTGCTCATCTTCTCTCTGTTATTCTAAGAGAGATGTTTTCTCCTTTTAGTGGGGATACACTCCGCTTACTCTTGCTACCGTTGAAAACCGTGAAGAAATGGTCAAGCTCCTTCTTCAAAAAGGAGCTAATGTGAATGCTCAGGACAAAGTTTATAGGTAAAGGGTTTGTGAAAAGTGCACATGGGGCTCCTTAGCCCTGTTTGATTTGAATTGATGGGAGACATAAGAATGAACTTTGAAAAAGGACCAGGAATCACCCAGAAGTATTTCCTGTGTGGCTTGTGAAAGCAGTCCCAGGCTCAGTTGCCACTTTCTTCAGGGGGTGATTTCCACACTGAGGACTGCAAGAAAGCTCTCTGCCATGACACACGCCCACATGTGCGTGTACATGCAGGTGCACAGGCCCTGCATCTGCTCTGGACAGGTGGCTGTCAAGGAGACCTCCCGAGGTCCCACATACCTGAATTTTCTAACATATGTAGGCATTTGGCTGTCCCTCCACTCTGCCTGTAGGAGAGGGGAAATGAATTGTTTAAGGAGAAAAGAGGAATTAAAGTATTGGCTTTGTTTTGTTAAAGAATTGGCAATGTTTGCAAAAGCTGACATATTTACTCTTATCTCTTGGATGCCCTAGGACCCCTCTTACAGTTGCTACTTCTTCTGGGAATAAGAAAGTAATACAACTCCTTCTTCAACATGGTGCTGTTTTTCTTGAACCAGACAAAGAACTCTACCCATGTCAATCTTTCACCAAAATGGTTCAAGATGATCTGTGAGTGTTTTACACCATTGTTAAAACAACCACATTCTCCTAATGTCTGGGCTGATGTACCTCCCTTTTTGGTAACAGCAGTAGGGTTTAATGAGGCGCTGAGAGCTTTGTAGAAGCTGAGCTCAGTGATGTCACCTCTTTCCATGTCAAGAGTAGATTTAGAAGTTGAGGAAAACTTTGTCCCTTCCCCTGAGTTGTCTGAGAATTCACCTGTGTGCTTCCAAGTTACACCACATTGGCAGCAACTACTTGCCTTTTGTTTCAGAGGGGATCTAACTGATATCCCCTGTGTGCTTTACTAGGCTGAGGAAAAAAAGCCCTCTTTCACAGTGATGGTAGCCAAGGGATGGGTGAATGGCCTGCATTATTCCTTATGCCTTTTCCAACTCTAAACAATTCCCCATTAACTCATGCCACTGGATCTTGACTTCATTTCTTCTTCCCCTGCCCTTCTGGCAGTCTTTATCAATGGGAAGCAGGAAAGAAGGGAGCTTGTGTAAACTGTGGTGTAAAAACCCTTTTAGGGATAAAGCATGTTTGAAGATTGTTCTTACAATATGTGGCACTCATTCCTTCCCTCCAGGCTTCTAGAACAATATAAATGTCATGATAATGCACTATTCTGTACAGCAACCTCGACCTGGAGAACATGTTTAATTTGTTTTCTTATTTTATTGTTTTGGCTTTTTTTTTCCTGCTTATTGAACAAACCCAAGCCCCAGTCAACTCAAGCTTGTTAGAAGACAACACAGGTCTTGGAATGCAAGCACAATATTTGTTGGCCTGTTGATAACCCACTTGAGAGCTTTCTAAACTCTGAGGTCCTCAGGCTAACCATGGGAATTTCTGAAGGCCTTCAAAGTGAGGACCTGGACTGAGGAGACTTCAAACCATCTTGCTGTGGAGAGTAGCTGCACCATTAGCATAACATCTAGCTGAGGTAGAGGCTTTGGTGATGTCAGTCTTCTAGGAGGCTTGTTAAATTCATTGGCTTTTGAAATGGAGAAGGGATTTATCAGATGAGACTGTAGGCAGACTGTAGCAGGGATGAGTTACTCCACAGATAAGACTAGGCACCTGTATTGTCGGCATGCCTGTAATGAGGATTTCAGTCTCCATTACTCTGGGACTGCAGTACGTTCTTTGTGTGTGTGACCCTTTAGCAGTTTAGTTCTGTGTGTGTGTGTGACCCTCTAGTCTATGAATATGGGTAGAATGGAGCATGCATGGCTTTTACTCTTCCTGCAGAGAATGCATGGAAGTCTCGGGGGATTTTACCTAATGCATCTTCTTCCTTTCTATATTTAGCATTGCTAATGAGCAAATTGGGAGTTCCTGCTATGAGACAACTCCTGTCATTCCCTTGGAAACAGCTGCCTTGGCAGAGTCATGTAAGACACTTGTCTATCAAAGAGGTCATGAGAAAAATTACCGTGGCCTGTAGCAGAATGATACCAAATCAATGGAAAGCTGGTCAGGGGGATGGGTCAAAGATCTGGAAAATAAACACTCAAGGCAACAATGTGCTTCTTATCTTATTTCTTAGGTGATGTCCCAAAAGTAGAAGCACCAGAAAAGAAAAGCAATGGTCCAGCTGCAGACCAAAATAAAGTGTCTAGGTGCTCTAATAGAGTGCAGCCCTACAGAGGTAACTTCAGAGGGACTAGATAGTTAACTTCAGAAGCCTCCATGGAATGAAGCAAGTGGAGAAAAGCAGAGTGAAATAAGCACTCACAGAAATGATGCATTTCTTAACTTTTGTTAGGAGAGTACAAAGCAGAAGGAGCAGAGAAAAAGGAAGACAAATACTCCCTCTGCAATCCTGAGGTACCTTCTCTGAGGGAGGCAATGGGGTTCCTCTGACTCCCTGGATTCTGGTTTTGTTTGCTGCTTTTGTCACACACTCGTAACTTGACCTTGACATGCTGCTGCTTCAGACAAACTGTTCAGCTGGGACTGGGACAAAGTGGGGGTCCAGCTTATGTCCTGGGTCTCCTTGCAGCTGGCCTTCAAGTGGGATTTCTAGTATAGCACAGAGCAGTGAAGCTCACTGTTGGTTACACTCCTCTGAAAACTGAAAGGCTTGCACTGTGAGGATTGCTGTTTTTCCATTACACATCTCGCTTCCCTAGATGCATGCAGTATCAGCTGGTTTCTATATGATCTACAGTCTGGAGATTAATTCCTTCTGCCTAGGTTCTCTCCAGACTGAGCAGGTGGACTTGGTCCTGTTTTGAAAACAATGCTCAGCAGTGATCTAAATGCACTGGCTGTGCATGCCCTTTCTGTCCTTTCCATCACCTTATCCCTCTCCTTAGGCCTGCTGGCTGAAGCGAAGGATTTGAGCAGGGAAGTGGGTGTGGATTTTGCCTGTGCCAGTTCTTATGTGTGTCTTTTAAATTACACAGACTGATCCAAAAGGTCGAGGGAAAGTGCGGGCCAGAGCGTGGCGTCTTGCTGCAAAGAGCACCAGGTTGGATGCGCGCTCTGCTGCAGTGGAACACAGCAAAGGTAATTTCAGAGGGACTAAATGGTTACCTTTGTAAGCCTCTCTGCAGTGAAACAGGAGAAAAGCAGAGTAAAATAAGCATCCACAGAAATGACATGCTACTTATCTTTCTTAGGTGTCTTGCCAGCAGCAGCACCAGTAGAAGCAGAAAAGGAAGACTGTGATTCCTCCTGGGATTCTGAGGTACCTTCTCTGAGGGAGGCAGTGGTGTTCCTCTGGCTCATGTGCTTCTGAACTCATTCTACTTTGATGCTGCTTCTGCCACGCCCTCCTTACTTGGACTTTAACCAGCTGCTGCTTCAGATAGTCTTTTCAGTTGGGACTGGGACAAAGTGAGGTCCACTAAAGTCTGGGGCCTCCTTGTGGCTGATCCCCAAGCTGGATTTCTAGGACAAAGAAGTAATTGTTCCTTCTGCTTACAGTCCTCTGAAGTCCTAAAAGACTGGCATTGTGAGAGCTGCTTTTTCCCTCCTCGCAAATCTCTTTTGTGAATTGTCAATGTTAAATGGTTGTGTATGACCCACAGTTTAGGATTTATTTCTTCTGCCTAGGTTCTTTCTAGCTTGGGCAGGTAGACTTTGTCTCTTTTTAAAAATCCTGCTCAACAACAGTGATGGCTCAACACTGGCTTTGTTTGCCCTTTTTGTTCTTTTCATCACCTCATCCATCTCCTTAGACGTGTTGGCTGAATCAGAAGATTTGAGCATAGAACTGGGTGCACAAGTCACCTGTGCTACTTCTTATGTGTTTTTTTTTAAATCACACAGCCTTTTTCTGCAATTGTAGAAGACGTGTTTGCCAGTGGGCGGCGTCCTGCTGCAGACCACAAAGGAGTGGGTGTGCGCTCTCTTGCAGCAGAGCGCAGCAAAGGTAATTTCAAAAGGACTACATGGTTACCTTTGTAAGCTTCAGTGAAGTGAATCAGATTTGGAAGAGCTTTGACAAATCTCTTATCTTTTCTTAGGAGTCTTGCAACCAGCAGAAAAATCAGGAGAGGATGATAATTCTTCTTGGGATTCTGAGGTACCTTTTCTGAGTGAGACAGTGAGGTCCCTCTAAATAACTGGCTTCTGGACTCATTTTCCTTTGCTGCTGCTTTTGTCACACACTCATACCTTAGACTTTGATGACATTCTGCTGCTGCAGACACGCTGTTCAGATGGGACTAGAACAAACTGAGGTCAAGCTAATGTCCTGGGCATCCTTGTGGCTGATGTCCAATCTAGATTTGCAGTAAGGATAATGTAGTAAAGTTCCATGTTTGTTACAATCCTGTGAAAACTGTGCAAGGCTGGCATTGTGAGGATTCATTTTTCCATCAAACATCTCTCTTCTGTACATGCAGTTAACATCAACTGGATTCCCATATGACCTACAGTCTATAGATTTATTTCTTTTGCCTACATTCTCTGTGGCATGGGCAGGTGTACTTGGTTTCATTTTAAAAACTCTGCTCAATAGAGATGCTGGATATGCTTGCTGTGTTTGCCCTTTTTGTTCTCTCTATCACCTGATCCCTCTTGTTAAGCCTCTTGGCTGAAGCACAGCCTTTGAGTGTGAATGTGGGTGGAGAAGCAGCCTGTGCCAGTCCTCACGTGTGTCTTTTAAATTACGCAGACTGATTCTGAAGGTGAAGGGAAAGTGTTGGCTGCTGTCCAGCTTGCTGCTGCAAAGAGCAACAGGTCGGATGTGTGCTCTGCTGCAGTGTTACACAGCAAAGGTAATTCCAGAGGGACTAAATGGTTACTTTTGTAAGCCTCTCCAGAGTGAATCAGATGCAGAAAAGCAGAGTAAAATAAACACTCATAACTATTGTGTGATTATCTATTCTTAGGGGTCTTGAAACAAACATGGAAAAAAGCAAAAAAGGAAGACAGCATATTGCAGCCAGGAGGGAGGGAAGAAAAACAGGAATACAATGATCTTCCCTGGGATTCTGAGGTATCTTCTCTGAGGAAGAAAGTGGGGGTCCCTCTGACTCACCGGCTTCTGGGCTCACTTTTCCTTTGCTGCTGCTTCTGCCGTACGTTCATAACGTGGACCTGGACATGCTGCTGCTCCAGACAAGCTGTTCAGACGGGACTGGGACAAACTGAGGTCCAGTTAATGATCTGGGCCTCCTTACAGCTGAACTCCATGTGGGATTTTTAAGGCAAATAAGTAAAACTTCCTTCTAGTTACAGTTCTCTGAAGTCCTAGAAGGCTGGCATAGTGAGAATCTTTTTCTCCCACCTCACAGATCTCTTCTGTGGATCCAGTCAATGTCAAATGGTTGTGGATGACCCACAATTTCTGTTTCTTACGCCTAGGTTCTCTCAAGCTTGGGCAGGAGGACTTTGTCTTGTTTTGAAAGATCTACTCAAGAGAGATGCTGAATATGCTGATGTGTTTGCCGTTGTTGTTCTTTCCTTTACCCGATCCCTCTCTTGTTAGGCCTCTTGCCTGAAGCAGAAGCTTTAAGGGTGGAAGAGGGTGTGGAAGCAGCCTGTGGCAGTTCTCATATGTGTCTTTTAATATATGCAGACTGATTCTGAAGGTCGAAGGAAAGTGTTGGCAGACGTGCAGCTTCCAGCTGCAGACCGAAACAGAGTGGGTGTGAGCTCTGCTGCAGTGGAGCATGGCAAAGGTAATTTCAGAGGGTCTACATGGTTACCTTTGTAGGCCTCTCTGGAGCGGATCAGTTTTGGAAAAGCAAAGTGAAAGAAGCACTCACAGCAGCAACTCTCTTACTTTTTTTTCTTTCTCTTATCAGCTGAAGGAGCAGAACAGAAGAAACATTATATCTCCACGTCTGAGAATAAGGTACTCAGCTCTCTTCCTGAGCTCTTACACTACCCTTCGCAGAAGTCATGTTTCTTCATGCTCTCTACTTGAAGGCAGTGTTGATGCTGCCAAGGATTCATTTCCCAGCTTTTTATCTTTTTTCTTGCTTGCTTAGCTCCCTGCATTACAGGGAGAAGATCTTCAGCTAAAGGTTGAATCTTCAACTCAAACAGATTCTGAGCAGGACAAACAAGTGACTCTTAGAGACAGATGTAATATCCCTAAATAGAACCTATCAGTGTAAGCACATGTGTTCTTGCTAGTGAGAATATTTTGAAATAGTGCTGAGAGGAAGTAATTAATCTGGACCTGAGTTGTAATTTAGACCTAATTTCATATGCATTTGAAGCAGAAGGGCTGCAAAAAGAGGCTGCTTGAAGTCCCATTCAGCTTCATTTTTAACACATCCAGGGATGAGCACAACTCCTCTGGACAACCTGGTTCAGTGTTCCATCACAATACTTGGAAAATTTTCCTCCTTATACCTAATCTAAATCTACTGTCTTTTAATTTTAAACCATTGCCCCTTGACCTGATACTACAATCCTTGGTAAATATATCTCTCATTTTTTTTATGTCAAAAGGGTGCAATAAGATCTGCTCAGAGCCTGCTTTTTCCCAAACTGAAATATCCCAGATCCCCCAACCTTTTTCCATGGGAGAGGTGTTCCAGGCCTATGAATGTCTTTGTGGACCTCATCTGGCCTCCTTTCACAGGTCCATGTCTGCCTTGTGCTGGGGGTCTCAGAAGGTGACACAATACTTTAGGTAGGGTCTCACAAGAGCAGAGTAGAAAAAGATAATCACCTCCCTCAACCTGCTGGTCAGCCAATATGTAGACCAATCTAATGATGTAATTTCATCAGTAAAAGCATTCTTGTTGTCATGTTCACACTGATTTATGCACACTTATGAAACACCATTTTCCTAGCCATCAGCCAGGCAGAAGCTTGGTAAAATTCTCAAAAAGGACTCCCTGGAAGGAGCTCCACTTTGAACTGTGAAGATCAACAGCAGGAAGGAACAGAAACTGCTGTTGGAGAAACTGGAAAGGTGTAAAATTGGGGTGTGGAAAATGCCAGTTTCTTGGCAGGGTCCCAAGCCTTCTTTGTAGTAAACAGAGCAGGGAACTGACTGTTCCTTAAGATTTTGTGTAGTGGGGTGGTGCAGGGGAAGGAACAGCACTGCTGCCTTTGATGTTTGCCTGTTGACATCAATTGAAGTAACAGTGGAGGGCTGCACTGAGGTGGTCTTAGTACACTGTACAACTTTGCAACAGGAGTAAGTTGAGTGACAAATAACTGACTCAACTTATTTTATATAAGTCTGGCGACTACAATTAAAGAAACCACTAGTTGTGATGTCACTATGTCCTTAATGGGAGAAGGACGTGTATTCCTTTCAAAAAGCTGCTTCCCAAGCTTCATGAAGCACACAGTATTTGCTTCTCCTCTGTGGTTTCATAAAGTGGACTGTGTGTTGACAGAGAAAGAATAGGCCTGTTGGAGGGTTGTGCTGATGTTTTGTAGTATTTCTTCCTGCCATCACCATTGCAATGGTGTTGTAAAGTCACTTTAGTAAGAGGAGTAGTTTCTAATCACAGTAGCCAGGAGGGGGCATGGCTAGGGTCCTGAGGTTATTCTGTACCACCTCAGGTCATTGTCAAGGACAGAGGATGGAGGAAGCAGAGTGGGGTGGGGAGAGGGGGGAGGGAATGCAGTGAATGGGGAAGGGGAAAGAGAAGGGAGTCTATTCCCTTGTAGTTGAATAAGTGTGGAGAGGTTGGGTAACACTGATGCTGAGCATTTTCATATGGATCTCTTGAACACTCTTCTTATGAATATTGTTGCTGTTACTGTTTTCTTATCTCATTGCTGTCTGCAGTAAATTGTTCTTAACTGAACTCATGATCTTTATCTTTTGTGTCCCCACTTCTCCTCTCCTTCCTGTCACAGGGGTGAAGGGGAAAAGAAGGAGGGAGCAAAGGAGCAGCAGTGTGATTTGGAGAGTCTCAGTGGGAGCACAAATTTGGGGAATAGAATTCCTGAACTGTAACACCAGAACAGACTACAAAGTCTGTTCAGAGTCCTTGAGAGAGGAGAGGAGAAGTGTTGTGCCAGTCTTTAGGAAACACTCCAGGGAATCAGTGTAGGAGATGGTTTTCTATAAAAGATGAAGAAGTAGCACAGGTTTTGAAAGTTAACATCAGAGACAAAGCACTCGACTATTTTTTAATATATAAAAGCTTTCTATTGGGGATTGTTCTTGTGGTTTGACAGCTCAAGGACCTGAAAGAACCTCTTAACAAGAAGGAATATTATGCTGACTCAGGGAAGAATGCCCAAAAGGGGAAGGTAATAACAATTTTGAGGAACATGCAAGGCATCCTGGTTGATTCTTTTGATTCGTCAGCTGCAGCTATCCCCCAGCTGGAAGAACGCATTCAACGGTAAGACAGTGGAGCAAGGCCTCACTTTGTGTGATTCTGTGAAAGCAACAGGGCTGTCTTCTTGCATCCCAGTGAGATACTAATACACGATTTTCTAAGATGCTATTGTTTTAGATGTGTTCTTTCAAGCTGTTCCTTTGGGATATGTTCTCTTGTGGACTTTGTGCTAAGGCCTGTACTTTTTTTCAGGCTCCAAATGCAAATGGCAAGGCTGGAAACCACAATCCAGCAACAAGCCAAGACTATTGAAGTCTTGGAGACGATCCAGCAATCTCTTACCTCAGTAAGCTATTCAGAGCCTTCCCTGTTCATAACCCACAGAGCCTAGTTCCATATTCATGTGGGAAAATTTAAAAATTTTCAGGTTTTCCTAGAGGGAGTCTAGGAGAGATCAGATCATATAACTAGATAACCTGAAAGACCCAATAATATTCTAGAAGAATGGGAGTGGGGGTACATATTGGAAGGAAGATATGTAGTAGGTGGTTTGGGAAGTTTGTACATTCTTATTATCTCAGCCAATGGGGAAAAAGAAGGGCAATATGCAGTGGGAGTTTAGGATAAAAGGAGACTGGATCCTCCAAAAGCTCAAGAGACCCCACAGAGGTATGGGTCACTAGACTCTCCCTTTATTCAAATAAAGTTTCTTTTTTGCAGGATTCCTCTGTGGACACAGGTCTTTATCACCATGATTTTCCACACACTATCAAAAACTGTTTTGGAGAGAAGTTAGCAAAGCAAGCCAATCCCTGAGGCTGGGTCACCCTGCAAGTTTTTCCACCATTTTGGGTGTCTCTTTGTTGCCATGAGATTTGTGAAATTTAGCAATTGTCTATCTAGTGATTACTTCTGGTTATTTTTTGCCTGTTGCTGTTTTGCTTGTCAATAAATTGTTATCTATTCTCTTATATCTACTTGTATTTGTTCCTTATGTGGAAATGGACTGGATGGAACTAAGGGGACGTAACTCATTTTACAGTGTTCACCTCTAAACTGTCTTAAATCAAGATATATTTTTTAGAACTACCCTGGGAAGATGGTTATTGATGTTCTTCTTGGTAGATAGCTTTTCTGGATGGCTTTTCAGAAGCCTTTGTCTGTTGCACCAACAAACAGCAAAAAGTAACAGAAGTCTTGTTAAAGAAAATTATACCCAGATTTGGGGTACCACTGGGCCTGTCTTCAGACAATTTCATTCTGTAGCTGAAAGAGTTTGAAGTTTATGCAAAGTGCTTGGGAGTTACATGGAATTTCCACACTCCTTAGAGATCTCAGTCCAGTGGAAAAGTAGAAAGGATGAACTGGGACTTGAAATGGCAAATAAGTAAGAATTGTCAAGAAACCTCACTAAGATGGCCTCAGGCTTTTTCTTTAGTCTTATTAAGAATTAGAACACAGCCTAGATCTAAAGAAATATTAAGTCCTTATGAAACTATTTAAGGCAGACTGTATCAAACGAACTATCTCAGGAGAAAGCCGTGTGGTAGGAAATAGTAATTTAAAAGAGTATGCATTATCTTTGGGAAAAGAGGTCTCAGTTTTGTATAGGTTTGTTGTTTAGCATCCTCAACAACCTTGGACATTCAG